TGTATCTGTTTATGAAATTATTATGCTACTCTAGTTTAGCGATTATACTGCTGGGCTTTCTAGTATTGTACTCTAACTTTAGTAGGCATATGTATTCATAGGAACTTACTCATGTATTCAGTATATGAAACTCAATGTTATATTAATTTGGTTTTAGATGATGTGTTACAAAGCTTCGGTTTTTATAAAATATTTTTGTAACAATTAATTATGTTTTATTATGATACCATTTAGTATGTTTGGAAAGAAAATGAATAGGTTTTTAAATTCATGAGTTGCCTTGGCGGCCCAGTGTAGCACTTTAGGCACAATCGGGTTAGGTTTTTAAATTCAGGAGTTGCCTTGGTGGCCCAGTGTAGAACTTTAGGCCCAATCAGGTGTAGGGTGTTACATATTCAGATACCTCAGTGGAAATGGGATAGGGTGACCATTGACTTTGTGACCGGGTTACCGATGACCATATAGAGACACAATGCAGTTTGGGTCATAGTAGACAATTTAACCATGACCACTGAATATTGACTTTGATCGTTGACTTTAACTTTGACTGTTAACTATTTTTGAAGACCTCTAATGTAACACCCTAATCCAGTCCGACCCAAAGATCCATGGATTACAATGCCACACGGGGACATAAAAATGGCTAACCCAAATTTTTTTTAAATGTTTGTATATCATTTCATAAAGTCCATCTCAAATAGATAAGATAAAACATCATAATTTAAGTTCACAAAATGTGGGGAGTTCCCAAAATCATCCAGAATAAATACACTGAGTTTAAAACCAAAATAAAGTTATATATGAGTATATAAGGGTCTACAAAAGTACATGGAATCTAATAAAAATCAAGACGTGCTATGAGGATCTCTGTTAAGCTGGATTATCTGGTGATGATAACGCTCTTGAACTGGTCACCTATAAACCACCAATAACTGTATTGTATTACATGCATTCACTAGATGAGCATGTAAATAACATAGGTATAAGACATGGTAATACTCATCTACATGCTAAAGTAGTCATCATGGTGTAGCTAAGGGTTCTGCATCTTGGAGCTCACACACACCTTTAGCTGTTGAAGTGCCTTGGCACTGACTGGATATTCACTGCCTTCCTTATTTTACTCGGATGTCCTGGATATTGCCCGAGTGTCAAACAAGGATAGTTTTATATAATCCTAGCTATTTCTAACTACTATAATATTAATTATTGTTCTCACTTGTAGTTTTATCTATTGTTAGTTTGGTGTATTTGGGCCCCTCAAGTCTAATCCCTTACTCATTGGATTATATATCTAAAACTATTCGTTGGTACCGATATTGTCCCTTTAGTATCGATATTGAACCCTAAGTATCGATATCGACTTTTATTATCGATATCGACTGATTGGAGAGGTAGTATCGATACTCTTGGCTGAGTATCGATACTCTTAGACTAGGGTATCGATACTGCTCTTAGTATCATTACCAAAATTAGGTTCGATGTTTTGAAAAATACCTCAGTATCAAACTCCTATTGGGAGTATCTATGTTGTACCTGGAATCCGATTTGTGCCCCCGATGTCGATACCACCCTATGGGTATCAAAATCGGACCTACAATATCGATATTCCCTTCCCCCAAAACACTTTATTTTTACCATGGTTGAAGAACAATATTGATATTGTTCTTCCAATACCAATACTCGAGCCTAAAAAGGCCCTATAGGAAAAATCTTATCTTTCTACACCAAAGTCTCTACTGAGGTTCCCAACTGATATTTAAGTCTTATAAATAATTAAAGGGGTCATAAAAAAGGCTTTTTAACATACTGAAACATCAAAAGATGCAGTCTACCATGGACAAGCTTCATAACTCATACAACCTACCAAAACACACCTAATAATCTACATATGGTCGAGATGAGTTGGAAGTGTGTAACTTTTTATTCTAAGCTACTGGAAGTATCCAAGGCTCAACCAAGAGTGACCTTTTCCTTTCCCCTAGCCTTGGAGCTTTCTCCAACTTCTCTCACTAAGCAAGAAATTAGCACGAGGGTTACTAACTAGGTTTAAAGGTTTAGAAGGGTTTAAAAACACTTTCTAAGAATAGATATCTCTAAAAACGGATTAAAGCTTCCAAATTTCTTAAACCCCACGAAACATATTGTTGAAGAGCCAAAACTTGTGTTTGATAGCTTGAATCGAAGCTCTAGGAGTGAAGATTATGATTCTTACCTTTATGTTGTTGAACTAGAGTTGCAAGGTTACCAGGTTATCACCTTTATCTGGTTTAACTTGAAGAGAGAAGAATAGAGAAGATGAAGTTTTTGGAGAAGAGGAAGATGGCAAAAGAGCCAAAAAATGAGATGTTTCGGACATGATATCATCAAACAATTAAAGATTTCAACTTTGAAATTCTAAAGGGTATAATTACTTTCCTGGTCCTCCTCATTTTGGTTACAAACTAAAAATGCCATTTTTATTCACTATGGGGTCAATCCAAGCCTAATTTCACTTAACTTGGGTCAAGGCTTGCTACAAGCCATGGGGTTTATCTAAAGCCCAATTCGGATCAACCCAAAACTCCTAACCCGAGATTTAGGGTGTTACATTTACTGAGATGTTTTTAGATGTCATGAACCCCTTTTTATAGTCTGTTTTGCCAAAGTCTAACCTTAAAGCCTCCGTTTATCATTATTATAAATTATTTGAGCTTTTTATTTTCAATTACATGTTAGAATTTATTGTTAATATATTTATTTGGTTATGAATATGATTCGACCTCTCTCAAGTGCTCTCTAGAAGACCCAAATTAGTCTCATTTTGTTCATCTAAATGTTGACCCTCCAACTAGAGTTACGCGCAAGATGATAAAACTGTAAATTCTTATTGATAAAATGTAAGTTCTTTTAGTTGTTAATGTAGTCTTTCGAATTTCTAGATTCTAACACTTTTGGACCTAGTGCTACTGAATGTGGGAAACATGTTTAGCGCTTGTGCTACAGCTTGCTAGAGGTGTGTTCCTTGTTTAATGCTACATGTGTTATACTTGAGTGTGCTATGTATATGTCATGTTTGATAATTGACGATGTGATATGTATATATGTTTTATATTCATTGACTTGTGTTTATATCGAATAATTGAATTATATTTATATCAGTGAACAAAGCATGATAAACACAATATGTTATGATTGTTCTTCTTTAGCATGAATATGTGCAATATTCATATTGTTTTGTATGTCGCATCATGATGGGATAGCGTTACAGAAGTGACAGAATAACCCACTCGTTCATCCATTAGGACGGTTCATCCAATTATCGATTGGTTCATCAATTAGGATGATAAATCCAACTACTAATTGGTCCATCTCAAAGGGATGGTAAACCAAATAATTTTGTGGTGTTATGATAGAGTTAATTAGGTTGCATTTCACTGCATCCATACCATAAATGACGTTTTATATGTATGACATGTTTTTATGATGTGAATTGAATCTTATTCTTTGACTTGCAATTAGAGGACACATTAAACTCTATATATCACTCTTTTTACAAATTCTCGTGGTCGATAGGATTGTTCTCGTACTAGAAGATCACTTAGTGATATTTTTTTATTTTAAATTGTATGACCATTTCAGACTATTACTATATTTTATACTTTTATTAGATTTAGGGTTTATTATGTATTTGGGACTTTTGAACATTATCCATATGGGGATTGTGAACTATGTTTTGGCATGCATTTTATTCCAAATGTATAGAAATTTAATATTATTTATTTATTTTATGATTCATATGGTTACCAGTGATGACCTTTAAAATAATACAACATTGTAATTTTACAATAGTGTGACCTCGAGACTTGGTCATATCGTCTAGGTCGGGTCTAAGAGATTACAACATGCTTCATAAAGTAAGGCGCATACGACTTCACATGCCCATCTTCAATGCTCGTCAGAAGGTTGATTCAAGTAAGCAGATCGTGTCACATCGTCCTTATTATTCGACGAGGGATCTTTTGCTATGACGCAAGCTCTACAAATCCTTTTTTACTAGCACTGATCATACATAGAAAAGTATGTTGGGGGATTTAGAAAGAAAGTGGAAGTGATGGTTATTTTTCCGTTATGGTTGCATTCCGACTGATATTTTTTCTAGTTAGTGGTGTTCTACACTCACAATACAATTTGTTGAAGGGAATAAATATGTCATAGTGGCACGGGGTTCACTCTTTCTGATTTAGGCGGAGTACTACAACTAGTAAGAGATTGATTGTTGGCTAATATCTAAGTCCTCTGTCTCCATGGGGAGGTAGATGGGAATTGAATTGTGAAGAAGAATAATGAGTTACATAATTCCATTTCTTGATTGAGAGACTTTATAATAACTTTTAGTGCTAGTTTCAAGCACAGGGTTAATATAGCTACTCTTAGGTTTGTAGTATTGGTTAATACAATTGATTGAAAACATATTTAACTTTGATATGTCACATGGACCAATATAGGTTATGTCAAAAGATCGTAACTTCTCAAAAGATATTAGGCATTTGAGATTCTTTCTCCATAAATAAGAAAGTGCTCTTCTTGGATATTTTGGAGCAGGTGCTCTTCTCAGATTTTCTGGAGATTTTGAGATGCGGAGAGGGGTACAACAAAACAAAATGTTTTATAAAATCAGGTATTAAAGAAGTTGAATTTTTTTTAGATCCCGTTGATAGTTTTATTAAAATAAAAGATAATCATTACACAGGTAATAGCAATGACGGGAAACCCAACTAGAAAACTAGATTCAAAAGGACGGGTACACAACAAAACTGATGAAAGCTAACTAAGACAGACAGCAGGCAACCAAGACAAGATATAAGCAATATTCAAACTGTAAATACTGACCGATGTGAACATAAAGTAATTCATAATTTTTTAATCCTAAGGAACTTTATTCTAGGGGGAGTGATTTTGATAAAGATAAAAAAACACTATCACCTTAGACCTTGCCATTATAGAACCAAATATATAATTCATTCGGAAAAGGAATTATTGTTGACGTTAACGTTATCCACAAATGGGAACACCATCTCATCTCCACAAAATCTCACATGACTTAGTGGATTATCATTCATCAGCTCCGTGGTCCAATATTGTACCTGCATCGAATCTATGTTGTTCGCCTCCGTTTGCACGTTGTCCCCGACAGTCGTCCTCGACATTGCGTTCGGCATCACCGATGGTGTTGCAGCCACAAATGAAGACGAGCCCTGGGGATCATGAGATGTTTGGGTAAGTGAATCAATCCTCTTTTCGACCTCCTTCAAGTTCTGATCAATCAGCCACCCGAGATCATTCAAATCCATCATGTTCAAGCCATCGATGCCATCTTTGCCCACGAGGTTTTGGAACATGACATGAGTCATCTCCTTTTCCCGATTGATCATGCACTGTTTAATGAGTTGTTCACTGGCTTTAGTGTTCCTTTGGATAAGGAAACTCTCTTGGTTCACCATTTTCTTGCTTTGTTCCATTTCAGGGATCTGCCTGAACTTGGAGAGCACTTGTTGGACTCCCATGGGGGATGGCCAAACCTCAGGTTGAGGATCATAAGGGTTGTACATAATAACACAAGCATCGACCCCACAAAGGGTACTTAGTTCACTCACTTTCTTCATTAAACCCTTTTTTCTTTTCTTGTAGGAAGCTTTCCTTTTTGAATCGTTGGTGATATACACAAGCTCCACTTTCTTTCTCGTCATGCATGGAAACCAAAGAGATTGGATTCCTAGTTTTTTTTTGTTCTTATGTATTTCTCACCTAGACAGTTACTTTGTTCTATTTATAGACTTGAAGGGATTATAGAGTATTCATATCCATTTTTTCTTGTGAAGAAATGCATGGACTCAAATTAATTATTTATGAATCAGAGTAATAATTGTTACACTTATATCCACTTATATTGGTATCATTTAATATTATATTTTTAATAATGAGAAATATATAGTCATAAAAAGAATGGAGGCATGATTTGCTGTCATAAAATGATATATTAATGTATTTATATGAATCCTATAATATATTTGGTAATGACAGCAAACATAATATATATATATATATATATATATATATACACACTAAATTAGTCATATGTTTATATGGAATTTTAATTACCAAAAAAAAATCTAACTAACTCAATTGAATTCTCTATATGACATTTACAGCTTTATATTAATGACATATTAATGTGTTTATATATCATATTATTATATATAATAATATATTAATTTATTTATATAAATAATATAATACATTTGGTAATTACAGAAAACATAATGTATGTACGGATACACAAGGCAATGAATCTTGATAACATTATGAGTACACGTAAATGTTGTTTGCAAGATTCATTGCCTTATATATATATATATTCACACATTATGTTTTTTTTTCATTACCAAATATATTATATTATTCATCTAAATGCATTAATATACCACGATATATCAAAGATGTAAATGTTATATAGAGAAATCAATTAAATGATTTACTTTGATTTATTTTTCTTATAGTTAAATTTTATATAATATGTTCATGCATTGGGAGGGTCGCTCTTGCCTCTTCAATACATGATCAGGATTAGTCGATCAATAGATTAAATACCAATTGTTATACCAAATTTTTTTTATATAATGTGTAATTAATTTTGTCAGGAAATTAAATAATTATATAATTATAGGAATCATATGATATTATCAAATAATAATTTTATAGCTATATATGTTAATTCGTATTGATTGTAAATATTTTATTTTTTGTGATGACAAATATAACAATGATTATGTTAGAATAAATGCATGACTGCTTAGTGTTATATCTATATATGTTCAGTCATGCTAGTACTAATTCACATATTGTTTCTAGAAAATGCATATGCGAAAATATATTCATGATTTGTTCTAGCATTTAAAATTTTTAGTATTGGAAAATAAGATATATATTAATGATATCTTGTTTTAACTATTAATTCAAATGGTTAGTTAGCATAATTAAAAGAAGATTAATTTTTTGGAATAAAACATACAAACTTATAAATTAGTATAATTTAGTACCCAATATGTTCGTCGTTTTTTTTTTGGGATAACATCAAGATCTTCGCGTGTGTAGTGTCAACTAATGAGCTCACTAACATGGTAAGCACTAAATTATACAATTTCATAATATTATACATTTTATTCCATAATATTTACACTCCTTTAACTAAAAAGGCTAGCTAATTAAACTTTGAATTAATAATTAAACCAAAATGCTGCTTATTTCACAAGTCATTATGTGATTGACCTATACACAAATAGACTAATATCCAGAGAAGTGACTCAAAGGAAAATTATAACGTTTGGACCAAAAAAATCATGGTTATCAAAACCGGACCGGCCGGTTCAACCGGTTGAACAGTGAACCGGTGGCCTGTCCGGTCCGGCTACCTCACAAAACCGATCTGGAAATGAACCGGCTGAAAACCGGTAAAACCGGGGTGAACCGGCTGAAAACCGGCAAAACCGGTTTGAACCGCCGTTTCACTTTTTTTCTTTTAAAAAAAATTAAACCAAACGACGTCGTTTGTTCAACGAGCCAAGTCAAATTCGAGTATGAAAACTTTAAAAGTAAGGTCAACTCGACTCAAAAATTCACGAGCTAAAAATTATCAAGTTCAACTCGAAAAGGCTCGAACTCAAAAAAAAATTAGAAGTTCGATTGAAGCCTAAAATTTGAGGTCAATTGAAGCGAAAGAATAGTTCGCTCTGTGCTCACCACAAGGCTCCATGATTTTGAATGTCAAATTACCTCTATTATTTATAGAAGTAAGTTGGGATGCTCTTCTATGTTTCTTAGCCATGTGAGATTGTTTTGTTCTTATATTTTTACTCTTTAAACTTTTGGGATGCTCTTCTATGTTTCTTAGCCATGGGAGATTGTTTTTTTTTTAATTAAACCAAATGACATCATTTGTTATGATTTTTTAAGCCCCAATTTTATTTTTTTGATTATAATTATATAATTATATTTATTATTTAATATGTTTTACCTTACATATTATGTTGTAGTTTATTTGAATCATTTTGTTTCACTTGATTTTATGGTTTTTAATTTATATATGTTATGACTTGTGATATTTTTATTCTTTTTAATATTGTAAACTTAAAAAAAGTGTTACATATATATTAATATTGCTTTGAATATTATGTAAAATTAAAAAAATATTATTTTATATAAAATTTGGTTCAACCACGGTTGAACCCGATTGAATCAGTATACCAGTACCTTCACCGGTTCAATGTCCGGTCCGATTTTAAAAACATTGAAAAAAATAGAAATGACTATAAGAACCAGTTAAATATTCAACATCTTAAATTCTATCTAATATAAGCAAAAAGGAAAAAGAAAAACTAACACTCCATTCATAACATCATCTTCATACAAGTTTTGATGCTTTTAAATTGAAGATCATGAACAGCCCATGAAGAGCCCTATCAGGCGATGGAGTAACCCATACGCAGGGCAGCGCGTGGGACGATTGTGGGTGTTGGGAAATTTTGTAAAAACAAAAACTTTAGGATAAGGAAAATAAGGTTTTGAGTCATTTATCAAGTTAGGTTCACGACAGTGAACAACGGAGAGCTAAGTTTTCACGAGACATAATCTTTCTTCCTCTCACCTCTCCCTAAGCCATCGATGATAAGAAATCCAAGAACACCGATCGACACAAAATTTCACCAATAACGCGATGTTATGGGTGGTGTAATAAATAGAGTTATGGATAGCGACAAAACGATGATGGAAGCTTCTCGGAGAAAAAAATTAAAAGAGAAAATAAAGTGAAAAATAGAGAGAGGGGGAGGGAGGGAGAGAGAAATATTCGTTTACTAAACGGAGAAAGTTGAAATGATAGATGTTTCGAGACACGTGGGGAGATAAATATTAGCTTTACCTATAAGGAAAAATTTCCCTTCAAGTCGTCATATTTTGCTTATTTTATGAATTAGCTCAATAAATTTAATAAAATGTTGGTTTAGACCCAAAAATTAAATTAAGAAAAATTTAACCCCTAGAATTAAGGTATGACAACTATTCCTCATAAAAGAAATTTAATCCTCTAAATGTTCTTGAATCAAAAGGATGTGAAAAGTGAGTATTCATAGTTCTTGTGTCTCTCAAGTAGCTTCTGCAGGACTAAGATTACTCCACTGAACCTTCACCATTAGAATACACTTGCTCTAAAGAATCCTCTCATCCTTATTTAAAATCTAAATATGTTCTTCGTCATAAGATAAATTAGAACTTAACTCAACGTCATCAATTTGAATGATGACTAGGATCTAGACGACATTACCTTCGTATAGACACAGGAAAAACTTCATGAACACGACTAAGTTTGGGAGGCAATTGAAGATGGTAATAAACAGGTCCGACTATTTTCAGAATATGATACGATCCAATAAATCTCATACTCAACTTTAGAAAAATCTGATCCCAGACTTTAAACTGATTTCCTTCCTCCTTCGGTCAACTTGAGATTTTTTCTATCAAACACATCTCTTAGGTGATCAATGATCAATCTGATAGTGTCCTGAGTCTCTTGGATAATATCTAGACCTAAAATATTCCTATCCTGTTATAATCAACATATTGTAGTTATTAGTGTTTAAGCCCAAAAAATAACTATATATTAACCATTCATAAAATGCAATTAAGGTCCAAAGTCCATACAATTATTAAAACTAAACCCAAACCCCAATAAAAATCCAAACAAAATAGTCCCAAAATGGGAGCCTATATGTAAAACCAAAACAGAGACTAAGGTTCGTTAGTGTTTCAACATCGTTAATCTACAACAGTCAGATGGGATGGCTAATCATTGGTCTTGTTTGCAAGCTTGTTAGGTTGTTTGGAAACTCTAACAGTTGTCATCCGCGCCACTAATCTACGGTTGTCAGATCCGGGAAAGGGAATCCAACTGTTGAGAAGCATCTAAAGACCGTCTCTAGCTATCAAGAGTAAGAAACATCGTGTTATTTTAGGAACCACCACGCGCGGCTAAACTGTGGTCTCCCTCCCTCTCTTGTCCTCCAGCAAAACAAGAATACATATACAACAGCCTCCAACATCCATGTTGGCCCCCAGTCAACACCAAGACGACCGATCGTCACCCGTCAACATCAATGCAAAAAAAATCATAAGAGAATAAAGACTTCTATTTTGTTTTTGTTTTTACATTTGTAACCCTTGTTAATGGGTTTATAAACCCTAAAATAAAAATGTAAAAGTGGTTAACAACTTTAAGAATCCCAAAAATTGAAAGCAATACAACCATTTTTCACCAGAGGTATTCTACTTGGTTTTGATTGTCAATTTCCAGTTGGGGCATGTGTGCGTATTGTGTTTTGAAACGAAAATAGGAAGAAAAAGGGTTTAGTGTTTACCTTGGGTGTTACTGTCGTCGGAGTCTTCATTAGATTCGAGCATCGGGGTAGAAAGTCGAGGGTCGAGGCTTTTGGCAATTTTAAGGTTCTACATGTTGATTTTGGTTTTTTTTTTTTTGGATTTAGGGTAAAAGTAAGGTCAATTTCAGGTATGGATTTGGATTTTAGGGTAGCTCGACCACCGTTGGTCGTGGTCGGACTTAGAACGGAGCTGATTATGGCGTAGAGGCTTGCCTAGAGGATCTCAATCGAAAAGAAATAGGGAGGATTATGGGAAAACA